AAATGACAAGACAGAGTACCGCACAGTTCTTGTCCATGGGGCACGTGTGTAATCGTCCTATGCATGAGCAGCACCTTCCTGGGGCATGTCGTTCCATTCAGTGTCTGCACTGCCTGGTAACTGGGCAGGCCTGCGGCATTTCAAATCCCTCACACCTTAACCCTGGGAAGGAGGTAGCCCACTCCAAGAGGAGACAAAGATTCTCTGCTTAACCAAAATTTAGTCAGACTTCTGAACCTTCTCCTAGGCCTCTCTGTATGCTTCCTAGTAAAATCCGGTTTTAGCAAAGAACGCTGCAAAGTCAGCTGGACAAGAACTCCCCACCCTCAATATCTGGTCATCCTCAATATCGGAGTGGTTCCTCATCCTCCACCATCCCTGGGTAATGTCTGACCACCCTGGGCTGCCTTCAGCTAGAATCCTGTCAGGTCAGCTTAGCCAGAAACCCCCTTGCCCCTGATGCTTCCTCTTAGTAACTTTCTGTCCACTGACTCTCACCCTGCCCCCTGGCCGTCCATCCCCGCTTACCCATGCTATATTCAGAATCCAGCCCAATCTCTCTCCTCACCGCAAAATCTCATTGCAGTGGTCCCTATACCTACCATGATGGTCCTGATGAAGTCTTCCTTACCATGACTTAACAGGTCCCACTGAATAATCTTTTTTCTTTAACAGAGGGGAGAGGAGCAAGATTCTGAGTAGATCTCTATAACAAGGGAAAGAGTACTTATCAACAACAATGCAGGATTTCAGAATGGACACTATTGAAGTAGGTCTTGGGGTGATGGGGAGAAGTGAGGACAGAGATAAAATCCCAGCTCCAAGTGCTCACAGGTCATTGAGATCAAACCTACACACATGAAACAACCAGAAAATAACATCAGACCATGAGTCAAGCCATGTGCAACACAGGACATCTTGTTCTACCAAGTGGTGGGAGAATGAGCAGAGCTCAAGTCTAATCATCAGCAGAAAGCCCTTAGGGGAATGATCCCATCTTTCCACAATCCTGTGAAATCTGTATCTAGCGGTCCCATTTCACAGATAAGAAATAGAGGCTCATAGAGGTAAAGCAACTTGTTCAAGGAACTTAATGAGTGGCAGAGCCAGGATCTGTTTCTTTTTGTTGTTTTTCTGGGGGTTTTTTTGTTTTTTTTTTTTGAGACAGCGTCTCACTTCTTCACCCTCAGTAGAATGCCAGCATCGTAGCTCACAGTAACCTCAAACTCTTGGGCTCAAGTGATCTTCCTGCCTCAGTTTTTCATTTTTAGTAGAGACAGACGGAGTCTCTTGCTCGGACTGATCTTGAACTCCTGAGCTCAAGTGATCCACCTGCCTCAGCCTCCCACAGTGCTAGGATTACAGGCGTGAGCCACCTTGCCCAGCCAGCTGGTGTTAGTTTAGAGCCAGGATTTGAATACAGTGCATCTGACCTCAAAGCCCTGTTCTTAACTGCTATGGTACACCACTTCTCTTTACCAAAAGAAGACCTTTGCAGGGCGGCGCCTGTGGCTCGAAGGAGTAGGGCGCTGGCCCCATATGCCAGAGGTGGGGGGTTCAAACCCAGCCCCGGCCAAAAAAAGAAGAAGACCTTTGATCTGAACCTTGCAAGAGAAATAGCTGGTTGGAAAAAAAAACAAAAACAAGAATCTGCTGTGAGCAAGAATAGTGTGTGGAGGAAATAGCATCTGCAAAGGCTCAAGAGCTCCAGACAGGCAGATGAAAGCACAATGTTAGAAAGACCAAACGTGCATACTTCTGAGCACTCAGACAGGAAAATGAATGGGAGATGGGTCTCCTAGGAGGGTACGGTGTTCAGTTGGGGGAAAAAGGGGCTGGAGGCTAATCAACCAGAACCCCCAGGATATTTGGCTATTTCTGAAGTCTGATACAACAAACCAAGCCAGGATGATAGAAAGCACAGGGCGGGCTACAGGTTCTCAGTGCAGACCAGTCCGGGCCCCCTCCACCAAGGAGGCCCGTGACTCTGACAAAGGGAATGGGAAGCAGGGGACTTAGAGTTGAGAAGTCAAAGGAGAGACCCCCACCACCACCAAAGCTCTGAGGAGCCAGGTAAGAGCCACACACCCAAAGTCCCTGCTGCACTGAACGGACTCTAGCTCGTGGACTGTGCCTACAATCTACCTTGTATCTTACAATGTAGATTAAATCCACATTAACACAGCCACTTCCATTGTCTGAGATCAGAGAATCTTAGAGCTAGAAGGAATTTCAGGTAACATTTAGTCACCATTCCCCCCACCACTCGCCAGCTGTCCCAGCCACAAATGGTCCCTTCACCACTACCCCTGCTAGGACATAACTGGACATAGTCCAGGCTGGGCTCTAGTTCAGAACTTCCAAGGAGGAGATCCCCACACCACCACCACTGGCCATCCATTCTGCTGTTAACATCATCCATGACCATGAGGTCTTTCAAATGCTAAGGTTTAAACTCATTTTCTCTTTTTTTTCAATTTGTAGAAGACAGAGGTGACTCTCAACTTAAATCCTTCAGCTTAAAACACTTTTTTATGAGATATACACCAATTATTAAAAAGTGGTTATCTCTGGAACAATAAAAGATTTCCTATTTTTTAATTACATTTTTTAACTTATGTGTGTTATTTGTGCGTCCCCCCAACCCATAAATGAAGTATATATGCACATATATATATATATATATTTTTTTTTTTTTTT